CCTTCTCCTCCATTCTCCTCTCGGGATCTTGGGCACGCACACACACACGCCTGGTGTGAGTTTTAAGCCACCGGGTCCGGGACGCGAACCGTGGTCGACTACGTGGGAGTCCAGCGACATAGCCATTATGCTAACTGCTGGTTCCCAAATGGTTTTGAATTATTATTTAATTTGTAAAAAATTTAATTTGTAAAAATTGCCACGGTACCAGCATGTGGGCTAATGCTTGTGTCGCTGGACTGTCACATGGCTGATGGAGGTTTGAGTCTTGGACCTGGAAGCTTAAAACAGCTTGTGTGTGCATGCTCAAAGTCCTGAGAGGAGAATGGAGAAGGGATTGCAGTGTGATAATCCCACGAGGAGGTGATTTCTCACTTTCTGTCTTTCTGGCGAGTGCATATACCCTATAGCAAAAATAAATAAATAATTACTAAAAACTCTCTCAAAAAAAAGAAGAAAAAAAATTAGCTATAGAATGTGGGTGCTTGCTGAAGAGAGATGGAGAGGGGAAAAGTGTCCAGCATATGGAACAGCATACTGAAATTCCTTCTCCTCCATTTTCTCCATCCTGTCAGGATTTGGGGTAGTCACATACATGTGCCTGGTGTGATTCTCAAGCCTTGGGTCCAGGACTTGAACTACAGGGTCAGCCACGGGGGACTTAACCACCAGGCCAATGAGCCAGCCAATTTTGAATTATTTTTAATCCATTTCTTAAATTAATACTTTAAACATTGTCCTCCGGTTTACTTTGTCTTGATATCCTTGTTCAACTTTTACATTTTTTAGCTTTTGTGTGGATTTGCTGTCTCTTGCAGGTGTTTTCTCTGTTGATGCGATGGCAGCAATGTCTGTGTAGCTGTGAACATCCTTATAGCCCGCTCCACTGATGCCCCTTTTCTGAAACCATATCATTAATGCAGCTGTAGTCATTGAGCTTAGAATGTGGATTTTCCAGCTGAAGTGGTTCCATCACTTAGTTCTTTGTCTGAGGCTTGCCACTGTACCACTGTGCTCTTCCAAATGACATTCTGTCATTGTTTCTTAGGGTTTCACATGCATGTTTAAAAAATCCTTTCCTCTTCTCTGTATCATGGTAATGACATGATTATTAAATGGTTCATGTCCATAGGGAGTATTCTGACCTATAGATTTATCATCACTAATAGGAAAATCTAAAGTCTGAAATGCTCCAAAATCCAAAACTTTTTGCTGCCATCATGATACCACAAGTGAAAATTTCACACCTGACCTCATGTGATGGGTTGCAGTTCTAACACTGCAATACAAAACTATTGTATGAAATTATCATCAGGCAGACAATCTGTGATGACACACAGGTAGCATTACCATTTAGCAGGCTGGTGACTGCATGGGAGGACCAGGTTTTGTTCCTTGGCCAACCTTAATACACTAGCATGATTGCATCCACACACTTGTAATCCTGTAAGCGGTAGGTGGGGGCAGGAGAATTGGTATAGTGAGATTGTGTTAAGGTGGTTAAGGCACTGGACTCTGACATGGTGTACCCCGGTTTGAGTCCCAGACCTGGTAGCTTGCTTTTTCACTTTCTCTCTCTCTCTGGTGAATGTATGTGACCTGTAGCAAATTATAAAAAATAATAATAATGATAAATAAAATAAGAATTCTTTTTAAAAAAGCCATAGAGCATGGGTGTTTGCCAGAGAGACAGAAAGAAGGAGAGAGGGAAAAAGTAGGGAATGGTCATTATGTACATGTAAATATTCTAAGACCTGAAAAAAATCAAATCTGAAACATTTGTGATCCCAAGACTTTTGAGTAAGGATACTTAACCCGTATGTGGTATGACTTTTAAAACAGAGGCATGTATTGACTTTTGATAATGCCTTATCAATTCAGCAAAATTCATTTACCTACTCTTAAGTTCTTCTTTGTGAAGGGATTTATATATAGATATTACTTTGTTAATTTTGCCTTTTACTTTATTATTGGGCATTGATACCAAAATAGGAAAATTAATTAGCTATGTGAAGTCAGTAATTAATAGTAAAGCATTTTTCATGCCGATTATAAGCTGCTGTGACTTATATGGCTTATAATATTCCTTATGAAGTTACCACCTGTGGATAGTTGAGAATAATAAAGTACAGAATATAAAGCTAGGAAGAGATGGCCCAGCCTCTGTGGTGTAGCTGGTAGTGGTAGGGCAAATGGTGAGTGTGGAAGAAGATAAAGGAGCGCAGGTAGTCATTCAGAGGTCAGCATGGGTTTACACGATAGCTTCCCAGAGGAAGGTACTATAGGCTTAGAAATTCTTGCTTAGAGGAAATCAGAACAATAGTGTACAAATCACCAGGTATTTCAGAGGAAGGTGTGAGATGGGGGAATGGCTGAGCAGAGTGCTTTGGATAAAGAAACTGTAACACATAGACCAGGCTCCTGGGGGAAGTGAGTGGAAGAGCAGAGGTACAGACAGGTAAGCAGATACCCAGACCAGAGAGACCACTGCTGCCTCCCCTCTCCAAATCCTTCTCATTTAAAGGAAATCTGCATTCATTTTAGGAGTTTCACCAACATCTTACTACCTTTTATTCTGCCTTTAGTGACATTAGAAAGCAGGCAGGCGGGTGGCGTGGTGGTTAAGGGCACTGGACTCCCACATGGCCACAGTTTGAGTCTTGGAGCTGGTGGCTTGCTTTCTTACTTTCTCTCTCTTTCTCGCTCGCTCCATCCGTCTCTCTCTCTCTCTCTATCCCTTTCTGGTTAAATTGCAATAAATAAATAAAGTTAAATAGGATAATTCTCTAAAAGAAAAAGAAAGCAGTGATGTATGTCTTGGAAAGTGAACTGGCTGAATTACATGAGTGCAGGTGTGTGGGTAATCTTTGTTGAGATAGGTGTAGCAAGAGACCCGTTTGAGAGTGCTGTTTTAGGTGTTGAATTACATGCTAGACATACATGCCGTGTAGGTGGATATACAACTTCGATAAACAAATGATTCATGCAGTGTCCTGCCCTGCAAAGCCAAATACAGAAAATTATCATGGTAATACTGACAGTATGTGGTAAGCACTGTAAGAAAGTATAAGGAGAGTAATTCTGGTGGTGATGGTGAGAATGGGGAAGTACCTTTTGCAAGGTAATCTTTGTACTTACCTTAAAAGATAGGGAGATTTGACCAGCAGATGACATAATGGTTATGTTGCTAGACTCCCACAAGGTCGGCCATAGTTTGAGTCCCAGACCCACCAGCTTAAAACTCACTCCCAGCGTGTGTACATGCATGCCCAAGATCCCAGGAGGAGAATGGAGGAGAAGCAATTGTGGGGTGGCCATCCCCCTGGGGGCTGATTTCTTGCATTCTCTTTCTGTCTCTCCTACAAGCACATATGCCCTATAGCAAAAATCTCTCTCTAAAAAAAAAGGATGTATTTTTAAATTAATTTTTTATTTACATTTAATCACTGAACATTGTTAGAGTGTATGCCGTGGTTATTTTCCAGTATGAATATGGCATATGTTAGTGAATTGAAAGACTGTGGTTCGAGTCCCAGACCTGGCGGCTTAAAATTCATGCTGGAGCCAGCAAGTGACATGGTGGATAAGGGCGCTGGACTCTCACATGGCTGACTACAACGGTTCAAGTCCCATGCCTGGCAACTTGCTTTCTCATTCTCTCTCTCTCTCTCTCTGTGCCTCTCTGATTAAATTAAAATAAATAAATAAAGTTAAATAAAAAATTATTAAAAAAAAAAAAAGAACTCACACTGGGCGCATGTGCATGCATGCCCAAAATCCTGAGAAGAGAATGGAGAAGAAGAGATTGTGGTGTGGCCATCACCCCTGAGGGGTGATTTCTTGCCTTCTGTCTCTCTGTGTCTGTCTCTTTAGCGAGCACATGTGTCCTATAGCAAAAAAATCTCTCTTAAAAAGTAAAAATAAGTCTGAGTACCATACTGGATTAAGGTAACTAATTGTTATGTCAGAAATGAATTAAAGTTAGAGCTATCTAAAGTAGTACTTTCTTTGTACTTGACTTTTTAAAAATTATGTTATTTCATTTATTATTACTGTTTGTTTTTGAGAAGTTTTTGCTATAGGGTGCATGTGTTCTCTAGAAAGACAGAGAGAGACAGAGAGACAAAAAGCAAGAAATCACCCCCCAGGGGGATGGCCACGCTGCAATCCCTGCTCCATTCTCCTCTCGGGATCCTGGGCACACATGCACACGTGCACCACGTGAATTTAAGCCACCAGGTCCAGGACTGGAACTACGGTCAACTACATGGGAGTCCAGCGACATAGCCATTAAGCCAACTGCTAGCCCCACTGTTATTTTTTTTAAGAGACCTTCTTTACTATAGAATGTGTACACTCACCAGAGATAGAGAGATACAGAGACAGAAAGTGAGAAATCATCCCCCAGGGTGGATGACCATGCCATAGTCCCTTCTCCTCCATTTTCCTCTTGGGATTTTGGGCATGCATAGTCATGCACCCAAGCTGCTGGGTCTTGGACTCGAACTGCGGTTGACTACGTGGGAGTCCAGCAACATAAGTATTATGTCATCTGCTGGTCCCTATTTACTTTATTATTATTATTATTGTTATTATTATTATTTTTAATTTGGCCATAGAGAGGGAAAGTAAGAAAGCAAACTGCCAGGTCTGGGACTTGAACCAGGGTCAGCCATGTGGGACTCCAGTGCTTTAACCACTAGGGCACTTGTGCTCACAGGGTGGGGTGGGAGAGACAGAGACAGTGAAAGGGAGAGTGAGAGTGAGAAATCACCCCCCTCCCCCCATGGGGAATGGCTACACCACAATCCCTTCTCCTCCATTCTCCTCCTGGAATCTTGGGCATGCATGTGCACATGCACACAAACCTGGTGTGAGTTTCAAGCTACCAGGTCTGGGACTTGAACTGTGGTTGGCCATGTGGGAGTCCAGCGATATAACCACTATATCATCTGCTGGTTCCCGTACTTGACTCTTTTTTTTCCCCTAAGGAATTATTTATTCAATGTTATTTGTTATTATTTTTAATTTGACCATAGAGACAGATAGAGATAGGGAAAGTGAGAAAGCAAGCTGCCGGGTCTGGGACATGAACTATAGTCAGCCATATGGGAGTCCAGCTCCTTAACCACCATGCCACCTGTTGGCCCCTGTACTTGACTTTTTAATGAACCTTCCTCTGTGTATAATCATTGGTGCTCATTAGACGTCCTTCCTAGTTGGAAATTCATTGTTAAAAAATATCACTGTAACATAACATGTAAACTGAATATAGTTAAGTCAGCTTCTGGGGTTTACATGTAACAGAGTTTTAAAAAGATAGGATTAAATATAACCTAACAGGTGAATTTTAGCTTGGTTTCAAGTAATTTAGATTCAGATAGTATTGTTTTACTTTTTTGTTCAATTATCTAATGATATACAAATTTTACGTCTTAGGTTCACTAATGTATTTAAACGAAGCCACACTTCTTCATAATATCAATGTTCGATATAGTAAAGACAGAATTTATGTAAGTATTTTACTAATGGTTTAAGTTTTGTGGGGATAAATTTATATGCTAGTGTTTTATATTGTCAGGCTTAAGATTTTCTTACAGAAAATAATGCTTGATCTCACCCTGTTCATCAGGAGGTTAATGCTTTTTTCTAAGGTGCTATGTGAACTCTGGAGTTTAGAACATGCCTGATACACAGAGGCACCTTACAGACATTTGTGGAAGGACATCATGAATTCGGAGCATCCTTTAATATCATTCAGAGTTAAAAATGTCCACTGTGAATAGTGAAAAAATTATTTTGGGTTTTGATATCTTATTTTTGATATATCTGCCAATATGTTTAATTAATTCACTTCCCACATTGTTCTATGGAGAATTTAAGGCAACCTGCAAGGAATATATGTGAAATGAATAATTCGAATGAGAAAAAAATGTTAATTAGAATAGAAGACAGTATGAGGAAATAACAGGAGCAGAAATGCTGGCCGTAGAGCCTATATAGCTGCACCTTAAAAATTCAGAATATTAGAAAATGAAAGATAATATTTTTAATGAGAACAGGGTTTGTTTGTATCACACCATTCAGATGAATACTTAACTAGTATGTTTTAATTATAATTATCCACTGCATACGTATGGGATTTTGTTCTTCTATGACCTAGTCAGATTTCTTTGTGGGCTAGAGATAAATTACCCCACGGTAGGTCTCCTGTTATGAAGATGGGACTCTTCATTATTTTTGAACGAAGAAAACACATGGCTTCTTTGACACTTACTAGATCAAATGACAGTCTTAATCTTTTATATCACTATCATTTTGCCTAATTGTACTTACTTAATTCTGACTAATTACATTTAGTCTTTGCCATCTGTCCAAATAGTGACAGCTGGGAAATAGAACTACTCTACTCTATTCCAAAAGAGTTTACTTGCCATCTTCCTGTTATACCCTTTAAGGCTTTGTTTTTCTCCTTGATAATTTCAAAGTCAACTAAATGAAGCGTATATTTTGGTTTAGATATTCTTGATTAGAAATATATTTAGAAGCAAAATTTACTCAATCAGCAGACCCATGTTGAGCATTTAATGTATTTTAAATACTGTTCTATTTCTTCGTTATGTATTTTTATTTTTTATTTTAAAAATTTCTTTCACGAGAAAGAGAGGGAGCAAGAGCTTGAGAGAGAAACAGGCACCCATGGGTCTTGTCATCCTACAGTTCCCTGCCCTAGCCTTCCACCTAGCTAGGGTCTCTGCACCTGCCTGTACTCACTCACTAGTTATGTTTTTTAGGCTGACCAAGGTTCTGAATCCTGATTGGCCATTTAATTTGTATTAAATCAATAAGAGTTAACTTGGATGTAGCTGGGAAGCATTATCTGTTGAGTAGAACTGGAGAACTAGTATCTTCAAGGCTAACTGAAGCCATGGTTGGTATTTCCATGCACCCCCCCCACCCTAGCCATATACCTTTTGGTTACAAAACCTTAAAAACCTGTGATACATAAAGATAGCTTTTATTTCTTTTTCTTTTTTTTGGAGAGGTTTTTGCTATAGGGCGTGGTCCCTCGCCAGACAGACAGAAACAGAGAGACAGAAAGCAAGAAATCAGAAAGACAGACTGAAAGCAAGAAATCACCCCGCGCGGGGGGGGGGGGGGGGGATGGCCATGGTGCAGTCCTTTCTCCTCCATTCTCCTCTCGGGATCTTGGGCATGCACGCACAGGCACCCGGCGTGAGTTTTAAGACACTAGGTCTGGGACTCAAACCACGGTCGGCTACATGGGAGTCCAGCGACATAGCCATTACACTAACTGCTGGTCCCAAGATAGCTTTTATTTCAATAATACACTTAAGTGAGGAAAGCAATTACTATAGCATGTATAAGTGAAGGGGAAACCATTTGGATAGAAAGAATTTAAGTTTGACATTTAAATTAGACATATATCAATATGTGTAACTCACCCCCCCGGGGGATGGCTACACTGCAATCCCTTCTCCTCTGTTCTCCTTGGGATCCTGGGCATGCACACACATGTGCCCAGTGTGAGTTTAAGCCACCAACCAGGTCTGGCACTCGAACTGCGGTCGACTACATGGGAGTCCAGTGATATAACCATTATGCCAATTGCTGGTCCCGGCATTTATATGTTTTTTTTACCAATCAGAATTACCAATTATCATTTTCCTTTAGATTTGAGTAGGACAACAGCTAACCCATATTTAACATTTCCTTTTTTTTTTTCTTTTGAGAGGTTTTTGCGATAGGGCACATGTGTAAATGAGAAATAACCCCCCCCCCCAGGAGGATGGCCATGCGGCAGTCCCTTCTCCTCCATTCTCCTCTTGGGATCTTGGGCATGCACACACACGTACCCAGCATGAGTTTAAGCCACTGAGTCCAGGACTCGAACTGTGGTCGACTACGGGAGAGTCCAGCTATGTAGCCATTACGCCATCTGCTGGTCCCTCACATTTAATATTTTAATTGGTTACTAAAATCTTTGTTCCTTTCCTTTTGTCTACTATAGGAAGACTGTAGAATTTTTTTTTTTTTTTTTTTTTTTTAAGCAAGAAATATCCTTGCTATAGGGTGTTTTGCTCACCGGAGAGACAGGGAGACAGAAAGCAAGAAATCACCCTCCCCAGGGGAATGGCCACGCCACAATCCCTCCTCCTCTCTGGATTTTGGGCAAGCATGCATTTGCGCCTGGTGTGAGTTTAAGCTGCTGGGTCCAGGACTCAAACTGTGTTGGCTATGTGGGAGTCCAGCAATGTAACCATTTTGCCATTTGCTTGTCCTGGAATTTCTTGTTTTTATCCTATTCCAGTATTAGGAAATTCTTATGTTTATGCTTTTCCTGTTTAGACATATGTGGCCAACATTCTGATTGCTGTGAACCCATATTTTGACATACCTAAAATATATTCTTCAGAAACGATAAAGTCGTATCAAGGAAAATCTCTTGGGACTATGCCACCTCATGTCTTTGCAATTGGTAAGTGATTTAACTGTATTGTCTTATCTTGCCTTATATGGTACAAGTTTATTCAGCTTTTGTCTTGGCTAAATAAAAGGTAACATGAATTGAATATATGTATTGGGCAAACCTGTTTGTATCTTGGGTGTATCCACATACGTTAGGAGCAGATGTCTCATAGGGTGGGGCAGAATATTTCTGTCACCAACTCATAGGGCAGTCATCTGTCAATCTCTTTGTTAAATACCTGTGTCCTTTTAGGCGTGTTTGCCCAGCTGAAAGTAGGACATAATAAAAACTGACCTAATGGTATTTTTGACTCCTCAGCATGAATAGCTCCCCCTTGAAAGTATCCTCCTTCATAGTCTCGAGGTCTGGCTTCCCTCCTTACCCAGGTCCTCATTTATAATTGTGTTCTGTGGGATAGATTTGAACTGTAAGAATAGGTTTCTTCTGTGCATTATCTTGCTTCAAGAGCTTTATGTTATTAAAGTTGTATATATTCTCTTATCACTGAGGAACCCATGTGGGAAGATAGTAACACAGTAGTGTCTTTTTCAGCCTCTCTGTTATCTTCAGCTCTCCAGCTCTGAGGTGCAGAGAGATGAGGTTATTTGATCAGAATTAGAAATTATCCCTACCTCATCACCAAGTACAGAGATGTTGGCTAACCCTTCCATGTACAGCCATAACCAGCATCTAAATGACATGTTTTGGTGCTGGTTCTTAGTGCAGTCTGTTTCTTTTTGAACTTTTGCTTCATGCTATGTTTTGGCCTAACCAGGCTTAACTCAGAATTGGTTTACTTGTGTGCTGGGTACTAGGCTGAGTAGATATGTCAGTCTAGTCTGGCGGCAACACATCTGCTTTTGGTCTTAAGAAGCTCTGATGGGCATCAGTTATGTTCCCTGTCAGCCTACAAAATGGTGCACAGCCCTTGGGAGCCATATATGGGGAGGTTCATCCCGGGAGAAAAGTTAGTGTTTAGAATGCAAGTAAGCTAGCTTTTATTTTTAGCTTTGTAATAGAATGATTCTATTAAAGTGGATAGAACAGGTTGCTGATATATTGGACAATGGATGGATGTACTTTTGGTGTGATTTGCCTTCTGTCTTCAGTCTAAAAGCCATTTGTAAAAGCCTCTTCATTGGTATAGATGGCACATGTCTGAGGTGAGAAATAGTTGTATTATAGACCAAAATTAGTCAGAACTGAGGTTTGAATTGAGATCTTTTAATCTGATGTTACCTTCGCAAAATTTAGATTGTGCACATCTTGTCTGTGTAGTTTTAAAATATAAGATATTTTGTAACATAAACTGTTGGAATGTAATGAAGAGTTAAAAATTGTGTGTATATGCAATCGTGGACTAAGAAGTTTAAAGCAGTTAATTTTGCCTATATTTCAGATGCTGATAAATTCTATTAAGTTGTTTAAATATAATAGTAGTATTGCAGGAGTGGGAGTGGATAACCCACAGCTTTATTTTGCAGTTAAGTTTTTTTTCTTTCCCTCTAGCATAATTTTTATTTGCCAAATTCCTTAATTGGAAACTTGTTACTTCTTGCTTTTCACTGGGGACTTAATTAGTTATACCTTGTGAGCATTTTTTTTTTTTTAAATCCCTCTGCAGATCTGCAGTGGTATTAGGGAGAACTGAACAACAGCTCAGTATGGAGACATTCTAGCACAAACTTAAGAGATGTTTATTTGTATTTCCTATTACTGAACTGCTAGGATAAGATACAACATTGAAGCAAATACTGTTAGAAATGTTTTGAACATTTACAAATAATTCTATTTTAAAATTTTATTAACTGTAAATGCACATTTATGATTTCTTTAGTAGCAAATACTCCTAAAGTGAACTTTCTGTCATTTAACAACTTTCTGTTTAAATATTTTGTTCATTATTAATGTGTTATTTTATCCCTAGCTGATAAGGCTTTTCGAGACATGAAAGTACTAAAGATGAGTCAGTCTATCATTGTTTCTGGAGAATCAGGAGCTGGAAAAACAGAAAATACAAAATTTGTTCTAAGGTGAGTATTTGGCTAACCTGAAACATTTCAAATAGGTTGACACATTTTTTAGTGGTCGAAGCTCATAATGTAAAATTTTCCAACTTAATTTTTTTTTCCAGAAAGTATTTTTTTTGCTATAGGGTGTGTGCGCTTGCCAGAAAGACAAAGAGAAATAGACAGAAAGTGAGAAATCACCCCTCAGAAGGAATGGCCACATGCAGTCCCCTCTCTTCCATTCTCCTCTTGAGAGTTTGGGCACACATGCACATGTGTCCTATGTGAGTTTTAAGCCTCCTGGTCTGAGACACAAACTGTGGTTGACTCTGTGGGAGTCCAGTGACGTAACCTAAATCCCTCTGCAGATCTGCAGTGGTATTAGGGAGAACTGAACAACAGCTCAGTATGGAGACATTCTAGCACAAACTTAAGAGATGTTTATTTGTATTTCCTATTACTGAACTGCTAGGATAAGATACAACATTGAAGCAAATACTGTTAGAAATGTTTTGAACATTTACAAATAATTCTATTTTAAAATTTTATTAACTGTAAATGCACATTTATGATTTCTTTAGTAGCAAATACTCCTAAAGTGAACTTTCTGTCATTTAACAACTTTCTGTTTAAATATTTTGTTCATTATTAATGTGTTATTTTATCCCTAGCTGATAAGGCTTTTCGAGACATGAAAGTACTAAAGATGAGTCAGTCTATCATTGTTTCTGGAGAATCAGGAGCTGGAAAAACAGAAAATACAAAATTTGTTCTAAGGTGAGTATTTGGCTAACCTGAAACATTTCAAATAGGTTGACACATTTTTTAGTGGTCGAAGCTCATAATGTAAAATTTTCCAACTTAATTTTTTTTTCCAGAAAGTATTTTTTTTGCTATAGGGTGTGTGCGCTTGCCAGAAAGACAAAGAGAAATAGACAGAAAGTGAGAAATCACCCCTCAGAAGGAATGGCCACATGCAGTCCCCTCTCTTCCATTCTCCTCTTGAGAGTTTGGGCACACATGCACATGTGTCCTATGTGAGTTTTAAGCCTCCTGGTCTGAGACACAAACTGTGGTTGACTCTGTGGGAGTCCAGTGACGTAACCATTACACCACCTGCTGGTCCCCTAACGTAATCATTTCTAAATGTTCAGTTTAGTAGTGATAAGTTAAACTTACGCTCTTGTTGAGCCAATTTCCAAAACTTTTCATCTTGTAAAACTAGAGCTCTATACTCTTTAAACCACAGTGTGCCATTCCCTGCTACCCGCACACCCATCAGACCCTAACAACTACCATTTTATTTTGTTTCTATGAATTTAACTACTCTAGATACCTCATATAAGTAAATTCATATGGTATTTGTTTTTCAGGTATTGGCTTATTTCATTTAACTCAACCTGTATTCGTTCATGTTATAGTATATATCAGAATTTCCTCCTAAATAATATTCCATTGTAGGTATATCCCACAATTTGTTTACCCATGAATTTGTTGATGGACATTCAGGTTGCATCCACCTCTTGACTGTTGTGAACAGTGCTGTTAAGAACAGGAGTGTGCAAATGTTTCTTTGGGAATTTGAACATGTCGACTTTTTTTTTTTTTTTTTTTGGGGGGTTTTTACTTTTAGGGACCGGGCGTTCC